TAGCAATGTTATAAGTGGCTGAGTTTATGCTACTGACTATGGGTCTGAGTGGGACAGCTTCCTTGTGGATTTTAGGAAGTCCGTAAATGCAGGGTATGGCATCCCCTGGGTAAAGGCAGTGATATCTAAGGCGGTCAATAATTTTGTCCTTTTCAAAGTCTTGAAGACAAGCTATAACTTTATTTTTGTAGCTGCTTGTGGGGTCTTGCTTTAGGGCTTCGTAGGTATTGTTGTCACTGAGGAGAGTAGTGATCTTTGTGTGGTAATCTGTAGTGTAGTAATCTGTAGTGTCCACCATTTGACCTTAGAACTGAAGAAGCTTCTCGGATGAGAGGTGAAACGTCTTCAAGTAACTTAAAGAAGTCCAGATGCTTTTCTTTGCAAGCTCCTTTGACAATAAAGTTGATAATTTCTCTCGTGGAGAGTTTTAATGGATCTGACAGGTTTCCCGAAGTTGCTAAAGTTTCCTTAAATGTCGGTAGAGCTTGATCTGTCTTTTTCTGTCGATGCCCTTATAATGGTCAGACTGAGGTTTTAATGAGATGTTCATGAGGCTTTAAATCAGCACAGGAGCAATCAGGCAGCTCCTCCTCCTGACTGTCACATACAGAATGAAGTATCTGATATTTGTATGTCCTTTAAAATTCTTTGGTGGTCGATGGTGAACAGGATTTTTTTTTATTCAGGGATAAGTAGGTGACAGCTACCTAGAATTATATATTTTTAAAAATATTATATCTCATGTTATTTCCCTTTCTTGTCTTCCTTTATGTCTTTTACCTGCATATAGGATTTAATAGCAGCTCTGACAGGAGGAAATGAACGATCAGTTTAATGTCAAACTAAAGTTACAGCCTCCACACACAGACGGAGAGTTAATAAAAGTGAAGGAGAGTGTGATGGAGGAGAGGCATAGGTGACCTTTATGTGGAGCTGAATAATGAATCAACAGATGGGCAGAAGAAGAGCCGAGCAGTTTAATGTGTCGGCTTGTATGTGAACTGAAATCCAGCCAATTATCAGCAACAATCACGAACAGCAAAGCTCACAGCAGCAATTCTGCAACAACAAGAGTTGATCTTCATCCCATTTTCCTTTTTACGAACACATGCATTACTGATTCTCCCAAAGGTTCCTTTGACCGGACTTCTCAGCTGGAGCCATGGTCAAAGCTGCAGGATCCACAAACAGCTGATCCTGCTTTTCCCATAATCCAAACTGATAATGCCTCGCTTCAGTGCCAGCATCACAGTAAACATGTGACTCTGTTTTACAAGATCTGTTTACGGTTCAACCTGTCTGTCTGTAGTAAATACCAGGTGGTGGTGGAAGAGGAGCGCCCCCGCAGGCAGACCAGAGGCACTGCAGAGATTCTGCGCTGTTATCCAGTGCCCATTCACTTCCAGAACGCCACGCTGCTGGACTCCCAGTATTACTTCAGCGCTGAGCTTCCAATGAGCGAGCTGAGGGCGCCCATGCCCTTCTGTGTCGGTCAGTGACACATTCAGTCATTCACTCAGTCAATCAGTCAATTAGTTAGTCAGTCAATGGGTCTGTCAGTTATTGACTCAGTCAGTTGGCGAATCAGTCTGTGAGTCTCTTAATTAGTGAGTTAATAAACGAGTCAGTCAGTGATCCAGTCAATCATTCACTGAGTCAGTCTGTGAGTTCATCAGTGAGTCTGTTTACCTTTGTGTTTGTACAGGTGACAACAGGACCTACAGTGGTTACTGGAATGCTCCCCTCCTGCCTCATAAGAGTTATGGGATTTACTATCAGGCTGTCAGCACTGCCAATGGGGTGAGTTCACCTGTTTACAGGTAACACAACCAACACAGTGGAATTCAAATCATTTAAATCAGCTGGATCAGCTGTCATCGGCTCCTGTCTGCAGTCTACCATGGATATTCACGCAGATATCAATGGATCACTATGAGACTGAAGACTGAACCTGACTAAGTTGTTTTTATTGATTGATGCTAACTAAGTCGTGTTTTTGTTATAAGGTAACAATAAGGCAGAAGAAGAAAGTTTGAGAGAGACAGGAACTCCATAGTATGAATTCCCTGAGGCTTTCACACATTAACTAAAGACAGTATTTTAGTTGGTGTAGACTCACATCTTAGGAATGAACAAAGGGCATGCAGCACACATAAATTACATTTTTTTAAAAAAGGAAATGTATTCAAAACCAAGGTCGGTTGTAAGAGGGTCTGTGTTGGATGTAGAAGCCACGTCCGAAGCTCACTCTGACTCCTCTGTCTTTGTATATGCGTGTGTATATGTAAGCAAGTATCTCCAAAAACTTGATTCAGTTCATCCTGACGTAGCGTTTTGTGGGAGAAGCGTTTCATCATCATCCAGGTGACGTCTTCAGTCTCAGCTGACTGCAGGTTTCAATCTTATAAACAGCACATTTGCATAATGACTGAAACCAGCCCACTGAGGGAACAATGGGCTGGGAGGTCAGTTCCTTAATCTTAATTATGCAAATTCTCATCATCATTGATCAACAACCACTGATCAATGTCCATGAGTCCCATTCACAGAGAGTTGGGGAATGGCTGCAATCACAGCATTGTAAGATGGTGACAGATGTACCCTTAGGCCACTCCTCCATTCAGAGATGGTCTTTCCCTTTTCACGTAAATGGCCTCCTGGATCTGCTGGAGCTTTCTTTAGGAGCCTTTCCAGCTTTGACAAAAGTCCAGCTGGGATAACCACATTTACTCAGGGCCTTCTTGATGTTCTTCTGCCTCCCTGGCTGCTGTGTCAGTGGGGATGGTGTTCGCTCTGTGTTGTAGCGTCCTGATGACACCCAGTTTGTGCTCCAGTGGATGATGAGAGTCCATTGATCAGTGGGTTTTGGTCAGTGGTTGTTGATCAATGGTCATGAGAATTTGCATAATTATGATTAAGGAACTGACCTCCCAGCCCATTGTTCCTTCAGTGGGCTGGTTTCAGTCATTATGCAAATGTACTGTTTATAAGATTGAAACCTGCAGTCAGCTGAGACTGAAGACGTCACCTGGATGATGACGAAACTTTTCTCCCACAAAACTCTACGTCAGGATGAACAGAATCAACTTTTGGAAATTTACTTACCTGGATGATTGAGCCTGCATCAAGATGTAAGCATGTAAGCAAACTGCAGATAGTCAGATTAACAGCAACATTATTTTGTCTTTATCTGCCATTGTAGAAATTCATTTCATGTAAACAATAAAGTGGCACACTGTGTGATAATCTCCACCCTGATAGGACTTTTTTAAACATGTGTTTTCAGTGACCCAAAAGCTCCTGAACCTGACCGAGTCATTTTTAGTACCTGTTGTTTTTGTGCCTGAAACAAAGTTTCTCTGAGACTGCGGTAAAAACAGACTGCCAGGCAGCTTTGAACCTTCATCTTTGGTTTCTGTATGAGTTTGTGGTGGATTATTCTGAATACCAGATGATGATGATGAAGATGACAATAATGTTGTCTTGAGGAAGAGAATTCACTTTAAATCCATACTAATATTTTACTTGTGTTAGCTCAGGTGTTTACCTAAGCATTCCGGGGTTAAACCAGTTGTGCACAGAGTGTTTATCAGAGAGCAAACACTCTGGCTTTTATTTTAAAAAGTGGCAGGTGTCAAGATATCCAATCACAGCGTGCAGCCGAGCCCAACGGCGGCGTGCGACAGAGCAACGCTTCCCCTTTTAACAAAGGTTCCACATGATTCTGCTCTGTTCTGTCAATTTGAACACTTTCTCTGTTCTTCCTGTCTTCCTGTCATAAAACCAGATGAGTGAGACCGAGACCACACACACACACACACACACACACACACACACACACACACACACACACACACACACACACACACACACACACAGCTGTTTAATAGGGGTGCAGAAAGTTTCAGCAGCCTGACCAGTGACACTAATAGGCTACAGTGTGTGTGCCTGTGTGTGTGTGTGTGTCCCTGTGTGTGTGTGTGTATGCCATATATGTGTGTAATGAAAAGACAAATTTGAACAGTTACACACACATATTGTATTATGTTGGGTGTTAATTATTGATGCTGGGAGGTTTAATCTGTATGTGCGTGTCTGTGTGTTGAATAATGCAGCAGCTGTAGTGCTTTTTACTGTCGCCTCACTTTGCTCTGTGTGTGTGTGTGTGTGTGTGTGTGTGTGTGTGTGTGTGTGTGTGTGTGTGTGTGTGTGTGTGT